TTAGCAGAGTAAGCCGGATTGAGGTCTGGAGGCGGAATGGTAGTGAATGAGAGTGAATTATCGGTGGTGGCAGGTATGGTGAAGTCCTCGGAGCACTGATGGTCAGGATAAAGATGAGTCTGTGACGGTAGGAGTGAAATATTTGGAGAAAGTGGACCCCTGCCTTTTGGCTGATCCATTTGTGGTTTCAGGGTGGGTGAAAACAGAGTTGGGTGCTGTGGAATCGGTGAGGGTAACCAGAAGTGGTCTTGTGATAATTGTTTGTGTTTCTGCTGGTCAGAGGGAGCAGGTGCTCTGCACCACACAAATGGGGGCAAGAGATGTGAATTGTTTTTCTCTCAGGAAAATGACACCATTGAAAGGAGTGATTACTGGGGTAGCGGTAAATGTGAAAGCTGACCAACTGAAGGGGAAGATTCCCGGTGTTTGTGATGCTCGTCGTTTGGTGCGATGCAGACAGGGTGGCGTTAGTGGTGAAACAGAAGAGTCATCGTCTGCTCTTTGGAGATTTGATGTTGAGTCTTTGCCCGACAAAGTGAAGTTAGGATATTTCAGTTATACTTTACGAGCTTTTGGGCCGAATACAGTACGTTGTTACAGGTGTCAAGCTTATGGGCATGTGGCAGCAGTATGTAGGAGGGAGGTTCCTAGGTGTGAGAAGTGTGCAGAAGGGTATGAGACAAAGGAATGTGTAGCATTGGGGAAAGAAGCGGTATGTGTTCATTGTAGCGGTGCCTATCAGAAGTGTCTGGTGCGAGAGAGAGGCAGGTTGAAGTTACCAGGGTTAGAGTAGAGTAGTGCAGAAGGTGTCGTATGCTGAGGCACAGTTGCGGTGCGTGGGTAAAATCACTGGAGAAGCCAAGCCAGTAAAAAAGCCACATTACAACCTATGTTGTGTGTTATGTAACCCATTCGTTCATACGCCACTGTGATATACATTTTTATATTTTTTTTATTTAACGTGGCATTTCAGTTAAGAACAAATTCTTATTTACAATGACGGCCTACGCCAGACGACGCTGGGCCAATTGTGTGCCGCCCTATGGGACTCCCAATCACAGCCGGATTGTGATTCAGCCTGGAATCGAACCAAGGTCTGTAGTGACGCCCCTAGCACTGAGATGCAGTGCTTAGACCGCTGCGCCACTCAGGAGCCACCAATAAGTCCGTGGCAACAAAAAGACAACAGTCACACAGTGGTGGAATAAATTTAACTACACATTCGTTTGATTCATCACAAAACCGGAACGCAACATATGTCCACAAAGCAAATATTGCATGTAAGAATTCGTTTTGGCGTTTTGCTGCGCTAGGACAACCCACAGGTGAGCTCAGCTCAATGCTGATTGGCTAATTATTTTATATATTTTTTTATCAAGGGAGGACAAATGCTTGCTGGCATCAATCAATGAAATGCTACGGCGGAAACACGTCATACTCTTTTGTTCCAGACAGCATCAGATACATGGGCTACACATACTGAGACAGAGGGGCGCTGTTTCCCTCGCTCGGATGGTTTCTCCGGTGAGATTGAAGGAAAATTATGAAAACACAGACAGACGAAAGATACATTATTTTCTCATTTGAATTGTTTTATTGGTCAAATATTTAGGGAAGCCTGGCTTCCCTTGGCATCCATGAATACACACCACTGCTGAGGCAGTGAAGAAAGGAGAGGAAGATGGGTCAAGGGGGAAGGATCCTGAGAGGATTCGTGTGAGTAGTAGGACAGCAACAGCAACAGCAACACAAACAGAGAGAGAGAGAGAGAGAGAGAGATAGAGACAGAGAGAGATAGATAGAGGAGAGAGAGAGGAGAGAGAACAGAGAGAGGATGAGAGGAGAGAGAGAGATAGGAGAGAGTAGAGAGAGACAGTGAGAGAGAGACAGAGAGAGAGAGATAGAAGAGAGAGAGAGAGAGAGATCGGGAGAGACGGAGAGAGAGGAGAGACAGAGAGAGAGAGAGAGAGGAGAGAGAGAGAGATAGAGAAGAGAGAGAAAGGGAGAGGGACAGAGAGAGGAGAGAGACAGAGGAGGCGACAGAGAGAAAGGGAGATTCGAGAGATAGAGAGAGATAATGTATGCAGAGCAGAATTAGGCCGATACCGGCTAATTATCCAAATCCAGAAAAGAGCTGTTAAATTCTACAACAACCTAAAAGGAAGTGATTCCCAAACCTTCCATAACAAAGCCATCACCTACAGAGAGATGAACCTGGAGAAGAGTCCCCTAAACAAGCTGGTCCTGGGGCTCTGTTCACAAACACAAACAGACCCCACAGAGCCCCAGGACAGCAACACAAATAGCCCAACCAAATCATGAGAAAAAAACAAAAAATTAGCAAAAAACTGAGCAAACTTGGCCCTAAACAGAGAGTACACAGTGGCAGAATACCTGACCACTCTGACTGACCCGAAATTAAGGAAAGCTTTGACTATGTACAGACTCAGTGAGCATAGCCTTGCTGTTGAATGAGGCTGCCGTAGGCAGACCTGGCTCTCAAGAGAAGACAGGCTATGTGCACACTGCCCACAAAATAAAGTGGAAACTGAGCTGCACTTCCTAACCTCTTGCCAAATGTATGACCATATTAGAGATGCATATTTCCCTCAGATTGAAAACAAATCCAATTTTGATGAACTAACACAGTGTGCCATCACAGCAGCAATATTTGTGACCCGTTGCCACAAGAAAAGGGCAACCAGTGAAGAACAAACACCATTGTAAATGCAACCCATATTTATGTTTATTTATTTTCCCTTTTGTACTTAAACTATTTGCACATCGTTTTAACACTGTATATAGCCATAATATGACATTTGAAACGTCTCTATTCCTTTGAAACTTTTGTGAGTGTAATGTTTAATGTTCATTTTTTATTGTTTATTTCACTTAAGTTTATTATCTAGTTCACTTTCTTTGGCAATCTAAACACATGTTTCCCATACCAATAAAGCCCTTTGAATTGAATTGATATCGACGCCAACCGCAGTTAAACCTCATAGAAGAAGAGGCGGAACCAATTTCAGTCATAGTGCTATGATCGGGGAGGTGTTTCACTCTAGTAAGGCTCGACTTGTTTATTTCCGTTGCAGAAAGGAAGTAGTTCGCTGGGTCTTGTGGAGGTGACCCAATGGCAGAATTATTCTGTCAATCTTGAATTAGCTTTCTCCCAGAGTCGTAGGAAACACCGATTATTTTATTTTCATAGTTGAAAAAACACCGTTAGCACCATGGGAGCTCACCTCGCGCGGCGGTATATCACCGAGAGGGAGACCGAGCCTGACCCTTCCAAACCGTTTGGCTTCGACCCCGAATTCGGCTTCGAGGAGAGGAAAGAGAGAGGTCTGTTTTGGTCCGAACGTGTCACAGTACAGGCGTAGCTTGCAAAGTGTCTGCTGGTTGACTCTTGTCATGTGTGTACTTTGTTCTTAACTGACTTGCCTATTTAAATAAATGTTAAATAAAAAATATATAAATACAAATTGCAACTAGTAGTGGCTAGCTAACGTTAGCTACGCAATTTAGCTAACATGGACATGTTCCCTATTAAATATAGTATTTCCCCCTTTCCATTCGTGTAGAGTATGTTTTTATTTTAATTAATAAAACTCTCAGTTCAGACAGCAATATGGTTTTGAAACAGCTATTCCCCGTCCTGTCAAGTTCAGAATCATAAACCCCGGGTGCGTCTCAAGAATCCATAGTCTTCCTCTCCTCGTCTCCTTTCCCAGCAGCTTCCTAGAAGACATCCACCACACCATATTGCTTTGCTTTCACCTTTTCTGTGTAACTTCTCAGTTAAACTCAGAAGAGGTAGTGGATACACAGAGAGGAGGTGATTTAGGAGTAGAGGTGTAGCTACTGTGGACTATATTCACAAAGCCGCCATATTTACAAAGTAGGATTGCTGATCTAGGATCTGTTTTCTCTTATAAGATCACAATGAATAAGATGATGGACAGGAAGGTCCTGATCCTAGATCCTAGTTCTAAAACCTCCCCATTGACCACTGCTGTTATGTTATATTGAATGAATAAATACAACTTTATTGTCCCATAGGGAAGTTGCTTGCCAACAGTACAAGCATTCCTCACATAAATATAACGCATTCTGGAACATACAAGGCTTCACTTATACACATCTCAGGACATAGCCTACTCCTTTCTTTGTTGACAATTTTCATTTTGTGTGTAGAGATGATGTCCTCTCCCATTAACCCCTGGTGTAACATGTTATCTTGTCCCCCTGGTAGAGATGGTGGCCTCCCAGGCCCAGATGAACCTGGCCCAGGTCCCTGTACTCCAGAGGGACTACTGCGCCCACCACCTCATCAAGCTCATGAAGTGTAAGAGGGACAACTGGCCCAACTTCCTGGCCTGTAAACACGAGAGACACGACTGGGACTACTGCGAGCACCAGGAGTAAGTGTCTACCTGGTTATAGGAGTAGGTAGAGGTTTAGCAGCACCAGGAGTAAGTGTCTACCTGGTTATAGGAGTAGGTAGAGGTTTAGCAGCACCAGGAGTAAGTGTCTACCTGGTTATAGGAGTAGGTAGAGGTTTAGCAGCACCAGGAGTAAGTGTCTACCTGGTTATAGGAGTAGGTAGCGGTTTAGCATCACCAGGAGTAAGTGTCTACCTGGTTATAGGAGTAGGTAGCGGTTTAGCAGCACAAGGAGTTTGTTTCTGGCTTTCCTGGCCACACTTTATGGTTGCAGTGATTTCAAATCCCACTGGCACTGGGGTCATGTCCAATGTTCCCTGTAATTTTTTGGGGCACTGAGCAAAGTTCAAGACTTGTGAGCGGAAAGTTGACAGTCCTGTGCAACTTTCCGGTGTGCGTTTACAGTGAACACTGAGGCTGTACCTTTTACAGTTTTCCACAGCAGCCAATCGGCTATCAGAGTGGCCTATCAATAGAGCAAATCCCAAAACATTTTCACATGGGAATAGCTTTTGATTTCTATGATATATCCTACAGTAACCTATAGGTGGTGTTCTGAGCAGGCCTACATTCCATGAGACTGGCTCTGCCTACAACAAAATCACAGACTCAAATCTTGCAAAGTTAAGATTTGTTTGGTTGCATTGAAAAGGGGCTGATATGTTGATTCGATCACGTTAGAGGAAAAACGTTGATCTATATAGTGCAAACTAATGGGGGTGAACTCAGTGAAGTCCAATGTCTTGAGTCTGAGCACCGGCTGGCAGTACTTCTGCTCTGCTGTCCTGGAGGAGGTGAGCGGCTGCACATGCACGCAGCTTAGAGAATTAACCATCCTCTAGAAGTGCAAAATGGCATGTATTGTTATCAAAGAGAGAGTTGATGCATGTGTCTGGGATGATCACACGTGTATAGAGTTGTCAGACTTGGTGCAGTAGTATTGCCATCTGAGGTAATCCCCCATCAAATCCACTTGAACACCCCTCTCCTGTGTCTCTGTCTGTGTGTGTGTAGCTACGTGATGCGAATGAAGGAGTACGAGCGGGAGCGACGGCTGCAGATGAGGAAGAAGAGGGTGGAGGAAGCCCAGGCTGCTTGAGCATCATCATCATAATGACCCCTGACCCTTCTGTGTACATACCTGCTGCTCTCCACAATAAAGACCACCTTTTGAGCTCTACTACTCTAGCGCTGAGCCATCTCTGTTTCTTTGTTTGTTTCCTGGTACGTTACTAGCCTGGGGTGTATTCACTAGGAAGCACACAGAAGCCAACGGAACCAAACGGGGAGGGACCTACCCGAATCTGTCCAATAGAAACTCTTGTTTGTTTTCTTTTTGCAAAACGTTCTGTGGGGTATGCGTCATAGCAGGGTCTGAGCCAGCTATCTATCTGACAGTGGGTTGTCGACAATGCAGCTTTTAAAAGCGATGTTCCCACGTTCGTAGAGATCTCATTCCCGGTAAATGCTGCATATGCCGGCTCAATCGGAAAATAGCCTTTAAAAGAGGCATTGTCAACAACCCGCGGTCGAATTGAATCCCGGCCAAACATTTAGGCCTGGATTCAATCAGATCGAGCGCTACATTTCGTTACATCCAATGGCGGTCTGCGATAGCCTTAACCGGCCTTATCGCACGGAGCTGCTTGTGGATTTGACCGCTTTAACGCAGTTCCACCTCAGACACCGCCAAAACATCAGCTATGTGGGTGTCTGCTAGCGCCGGTTAATGCTGGATCTGATTGGATCCAGGCCTAGGTTAGTTTGTTTCTTTATATCACTAGCCCTGCCTGCGCTACGTTCAACAGGGCAAAAAGCTGTGGAACCTTCAGATAGTCCAGGGCATGTATTCATAAAGTGTCTCAGAGTAGGAGTAGTGATCTAGGATCAGGTTATCCTTTTAGATCATAATGATTAAAGAGGGGAGCTGATCATATTGAAATGTGCACTCCTCCGTATGGTCGTTCAGGATGACACAATCTTTCCATGCACCTACAGTAGATCAGCTAGAATCTAGATCCATCAACCGAATAGTATCTGAATGTAATGTATTATTCTGTCCCTATCACAGGCTGGGTTTAGACAGGCAGCTCAATTCTGCTATTTTTTTTTCACTAATTGTTATTTTGACCAATCAGATCAGCTCTGAAAACGATCTGTGATTGGTCAAAAGACCAATTTGTGGAGAAAAGATCAGTATTGGTCTGCCTGTGTAAACGCAGCCTTAGCAATGCATTGCATTAGTGTTCATTGCATCATATGGTCCCTATCTCCAGTGTGTTGTGTATTAGTCTCCAGTGTACAGTCGTGGTCAAAAGTTTTGAGATTTACATTTACGTCATTTAGCAGACGCTCTTATCCAGTGCGACTTACAGTTAGTGCATACATTATTCTTTTTTATTTTCATACCCCATGGGAATCGAACCCACAACCCTGGCGTTGCAAACGCCATGCTCTACCAACTGAGCTACCTCCCTGCCGGCCATTCCCTCCCCTACCCTGGACGACGCTGGGCCAATTGTGCGCCGCCCCATTGGTCTCCCGGTTGCGGCCAGCTACAGCAGAGCCTGGATTCGAACCAGGATCTCTAGTGGCACAGCTAGCACTGCAATGCAGTGCCTTAGACCACTGAGCCACTCGGAAGGCGAAATGAATGACACAAATACTAATTTTCACAAAGTCTGCTGCCTCAGTTTTGATTATGGCAATTTGCATATACTCCAGAATGTCATGAAGAGTGATCAGATGAATTGCAAAGTCCCTCTTTGCCATGAAAATCAACTTAATCCCCAAAAAACATTTCCACTGCATTTCAGCCCTGCCACAAAAGGACCAGCTGCCATCATGTCAGTGATTCTCTCGTTAACACAGGTGAGAGTGTTGACGAGGACAAGACTGGAGATCACTCTGTCATGCTGATTGAGTTAGAATAACAGACTGGAAGCTTTAAAAGGAGGGTGGTGCTTGAAATCATTGTTCTTCCTCTGTTAACCATGGTTACCTGCAAGGAAACACGTGCCGTCATCATTGCTTTGCACAAAAAGGGCTTCATAGGCAAGGATATTGCTGCTAGTAAGATTGCACCTAAATCAACCATTTATTGGATCATCAAGAACTTCAAGGAGTGAGGTTCAATTGTTGTGAAGAAGGCGTCAGGACCGTCTCCTAAAGTTGATTCAGCTGCGGGATCAGGGCACCACCAGTGCAGAGCTTGCTCAGGAATGGCAGCAGGCAGGTGCGAGTGCATCTACACACACAGTGAGGCGAATACTTTTGGAGGATGGCCTGGTGTCAAGAAGGGCAGCAAAGAAGCCACTTCTCTCCAGGAAAAACATCAGGGACAGACTGATATTCTGCAAAAGGTACAGGGATTGGACTGCTGAGGACTGGGGTAAAGTCATTTGACAGCATGCCAGGGCGGATTGCAGAGGTCTTGAAAAAGATGGGTCAACACTGCAAATATTGACTCTTTGCATAAACTTAATGTAATTGTCAATAAAAGCCTTTGACACTTATGGAACGCTTGTAAATATACTTCAGTATACCATAGTAACATCTGACAAAAATATCTCATAACACTGAAGCAGCGAACTTTGTGAAGACCAATACTTGTGTCATTCTCAATACTTTTGACCACGACTGTAGTAACAGTGTGGTGTGTATTAGTCTCCGGTGTATTAGTCTCCAGTGTAGTAACAGTAGCCTATGTCATCAGTACATAGACCCAACAAGAAGACATGGTTTGGTATTTCTTTAAAAAAATAAATGACTTCTACAGACAACAAAAATGAAAGTTCCAGCAGAACGACCAAAAGTGTGTCATGGTTTATTAGCACTTTCTGATCAGAGGTTTTGGTATTGTTATACTTAGGCCTACACCTTGTTACACACTGACCCTGTCCCAAATGGCTCCCTAGTCCCTATGTACTGCACTACATAGGAACTAGTGTACCATTTGGGACATGCCAGACTGTCAGTCAGGTTATTTAAAACAGCCAAAAAGCTCAGAGAAAAGAAAAATAACAATAGCCAATCAAAAGTGGTTTGAGGAGCGTTGTTAGGCAGAAACTTCTGGGTGGGAAAGTATAGTATAAGACAGTCTCCTCAAAATGTTTGGGGTGGAGGGGGGTAGGGTTTTAATTGGAGGATGATGGTGGGGGGCAGGGCTCTCATTCCAGGTCAGACCAATCCAGCGTAGAGTAGGTTTGGGATGGGGCGAGGGGTGGGGGACAGGGCTCTCATTCCAGGTCAGTCCAATCCAGTGTAGAGTAGGTTTGGGATGGGGCGAGGGGGTTCCATTCTCCTCTAGAGGACGAATGGGAGGATGGGCGAGCGGAGAGGAGGGTAGTCCCGGAACTCTTTCAGGTAGCTGCGGTGCTTCCCTTTGGCCCACACCGTCATCTGGATGAAGCCCACCGCCGTGAAGAAAGCCACCGGCAGACACTGAGTCATCAAGGTGAAACCAAACCACGAGCCCAGCTACAGGAGAGAGAGAGGAGACGTGGTGTTACACACACATACTAAAGGGGCTATGGGCAGACACTACAGGGGACAAAGAGAACGATGGTGTTACACACACATATGCGTAATATACAGTACACACACGCTAGAATTTCACTGCCAACCTCAGCCACTAGGTGGCCCTGAGCCTAACTATTACACAGAGAGAGACATGTTAGACACTGTTCCTCCTAACCAGCAGAGGGCAGCGTCACACTGAGGAGTAGTTGTAGTTGGGACAGTCTGCTGATCCTAGATCTGTACCTAGGGGTAGAAGACTCACCTCGTATGTGTAGTTGGGACAGGAGACCAGCAGGAAGATCCAGGTGAAGGGGTTCTTAGTGGGGTACGGGATCTTCCTGGTCTTAGATCCTGATGGAGAGACAGATGGAGGGAGAGAGACGGGAGAGAAAGAGATGGATGGAGAGAAAGAGATGGATGGAGAGACGGGGAGAGAAAGAGATGGATGGAGAGACGGGGAGAGAAAGAGATGGATGGAGAGACGGGGAGAGAAAGAGATGGATGGAGAGACGGGGAGAGGCAGGGAGAGAGAGATTCAGTTCACTGTGTGCTACTATTTTGTAGCAGACGGGGAGAAAATAGTGTGTATGTTGAATTGACTGATGTATTACAATGTTGGAATATTCATTAGGAGTGTGTACCTGGTGGGCGGAGGTTCCGCAGGGCGATATGGATGGAGAAGTTACCAATCTGACAGAACTGGCAAGACAAACAACACACAGCATCTAATAAATAACATTTTATTACAATAGTGTTCTATTACTATAGTATACACTATGAGTATAGTACATTATAGTATAGTAGAGTACAGTATAGTACATTATAGTAGAGTACAGTATAGTAGAGTACAGTATAGTAGATTATATTATAGTATAGTATAGTACAGTATAGCATATTAGAGTATATTATAGTACAGTATAGTATAGTACAGTAGAGTAGAGTAGAGTACAGTACAGTACAGTACAGTATATTATAGTAGAGTACATTATAGTATAGTACAGTATAGTATATTATAGTATAGTACAGTATAGTAGAGTATATTTTAGTAGAGTATATTATAGTACAGTAGAGTACATTATAGTAGAGTATAGAACAGTAGATACCAGGAAGATGATGAGGGCCATCCTGACCTGCTGCTCACCATAGATTGCTGAAAAGACAAGGATGGTTAATGGTTACTATAATAGTGTACTAACTAGGTGGTGTATATAGAGGATGGTTACTATAGTAGGGTACTCACTAGGTGGTGTATATAGAGGATGGTTAATATAGTAGGGTACTCACTAGGTGGTGTATATAGAGGATGGTTAATATAGTAGGGTACTCACTAGGTGGTGTATATAGAGGATGGTTAATATAGTAGGGTACTCACTAGGTGGTGTATATAGAGGATGGTTAATATAGTAGGGTACTCACTAGGTGGTGTATATAGAGGATGGTTAGTATAGTAGGGTACTCACTAGGTGGTGTATATAGAGGATGGTTAATATAGTAGGGTACTCACTAGGTGGTGTATATAGAGGATGGTTAATATAGTAGGGTCCTCACTAGGTGGTGTATATAGAGGATGGTTAATATAGTAGGGTATTCACTAGGTGGTGTATATAGAGGATGGTTAATATAGTAGGGTACTCACTAGGTGGTGTATATAGAGGATGGTTAATATTGTAGGGTACTCACTAGGTGGTGTATATAGAGGATGGTTAATATAGTAGGGTACTCACTAGGTGGTGTATATAGAGGATGGTTAATATAGTAGGGTACTCACTAGGTGGTGTATATAGAGGATGGTTAATATAGTAGGGTACTCACTAGGTGGTGTATATAGAGGATGGTTAATATAGTAGGGTACTCACTAGGTGGTGTATATAGAGGCTGGTTAATATAGTAGGGTACTCACTAGGTGGTGTATATAGAGGATGGTTAATATAGTAGGGTACTCACTAGGTGGTGTATATAGAGGCTGGTTAATATAGTAGGGTACTCACTAGGTGGTGTATATAGAGGATGGTTAATATAGTAGGGTACTCACTAGGTGGTGTATATAGAGGATGGTTAATATAGTAGGGTACTCACTAGGTGGTGTATATAGAGGATGGTTAATATAGTAGGGTACTCACTAGGTGGTGTATATAGAGGATGGTTAATATAGTAGGGTACTCACTAGGTGGTGTATATAGAGGATGGTTAATATAGTAGGGTACTCACTAGGTGGTGTATATAGAGGATGGTTAATATAGTAGGGTACTCACTAGGTGGTGTATATAGAGGATGGTTAATATAGTAAGCCATCCAGGCAGCAAAGCCCCAGTAGTAGGTGCAGTTCTGGAACACAGGAAGACAGAATACACATTGTCACACACAGGCTTCGTCCCAAATCGCGCCCTACTCTCTACATAGTGCACTACCTTTTGTCAAGGGCCCATTACACTAATCCCTATATAGTGCACTACTTTTGACCAGAACCACATGGGCCCTGGTCAAAAGTAGTGCACTACATAGGAAATAGGGTGCCAGTTGGGATGCGGCCAGTGTCAGATGATCCCAGAATCTCTCAGCAGGGTCACCCTGGGTTCAAGAGACTGGCTAGGGTTCCCCAGATGAGGTATGTGTAAGGTGACACACCACCACGATGAGGTAAGAGGGCACCTAAGGCTGTGGTGTGTCAGTCAGTCAGTCAGTGAGTGAGTGTGAGAGAGAGAGAGAGAGTGTGTGTGTGTGTATATGCGTCAGTGTGTGTCACCTTGAAGATGTTGCGTAGCGGCATGGTTCCGTGGGAGAAGCGATGGACAAACAGGGTCTCCAGGAGTCTCTTCAGGTAGTGGAAGGAGTGACACATACAGGCTAGACTGGGACCACACACACACAACTACATTACCCAACATGCACCAGGACACTCACCACAGAGACCAAAGACAATGGTTCTCTTCATTCCTGCCATTCGTAGCTCATATCAACTAGAGTTCAACTAGCAGACAAATATGATTCACATCTAACAAGTGGCTCATTGCAGTTTCACTCAAATATTTCCGTAGTCTGTGAATAGAAGGAAGTGTGTGTGTGTTACCATCCAGTATGTGTGTGTGTGTGTGTGTGACTCACTGTACAACCCAGTGTGTGTGTGTGAGACTCACTGTACAACCCAGTGTGTGTGTGTGTGTGACTCACTGTACAACCCAGTGTGTGTGTGACTCACTGTACAACCCAGTGCTTGCTAGTGGTGAAGTCATATTTGGGGGCGTAGATGAAGGGAACCCGGAAGTAGAACATCAGGTAGAGGAGGAGAGGACCGGCATACTCTGTCAGAAACACCTGAGAGAGAGAGACAGAGAGAGGAATTCATTTCAATTGACTGATTTCCTTATATGAACTGTAACTCAGTAAAATCTTTGAAATTGTCACATGTTGCGTTTATATTTTTGTTCAGTATAATATAGCCCAGCTTCAGATAATTTATAAACCCTGTTGTCAGAGCTACAGATAATTTATAAACCCTGTTGTCAGAGCTTCAGATCATTCATAAACCCTGTTGTCTGAGCAGCAAAGGACAAAGACATTTTAAACTGTTACTACTGTCATCATGAAGAACTTACAAAACATAACTTTACTTTTCTCCCTCTCTCTAGTCTCTCTCTCTAGTCCCTCTCTCTAGTCCTCTCTCTAGTCCCTCTCTCTAGTCCCTCTCTCTAGTCCCTCTCTCTAGTCCCTCTCTCTAGTCCCTCTCTCTAGTCCCTCTCTCTAGTCCCTCTCTCTAGTCTGCCCACAGCTCTCCTCCTCCTCCTAGTGGAACACTGGGGTTTCTGTGTCGTACACACAGATGTCCAGTCAGCCAGTCAGCCAGCCAATCAGCCAGCCAGCCAGCCAGCCAGCCAGCCAGCCAGCCAGCCAGCCAGCCAGCCAGGGAGGATACATTTATCTGTCTCCATTTTACACACCTGCTCCTGCCTAACCGACAGTAACCCCTCCGTCCCCCTCCGTCTGTCCTCCCTCCCTCCCTCCCTCCCCCTCCGTCTGTCCTCCCTCCCTGTCTGTCTGTCTGTCCTCTCTTCTTACTGTGCTTGTCCCCTTCTTTCTCTCACACAATCTCTTTCCTGCACTCCCTGTCCCCTTCAAATCACATGCTTGGTAAACAACAGGTGTAGACTAGCAGTGAAATGTTTACTGACGGGACCTTCCCAACAATGCAGAGATAACACAAGGAATAAATACACAATGAGTAATGATAACTTGGCTATTCACACGGGGTACCAGTACTGAGTCTATGTGCAGGGCTACGAGGCAATTGAGGTAGATATGTACATATAGGTAGGGGTACAGTGACTAGGCAACAGGATAGATAATAAACAGTAGGAGCAGTGAATGTGATGAGTCTAAAGAGTTGGTGCAAAGGGGGTTCAATGCAGATAGTCCAATGCAGATAGTCCAATGCAGATAGTCCAATGCAGATAGTCCAGATAGCTATTTATTTAGCGGTCTTGTTCAGCAGTCTTATGGCTTGGGGGTAGAAGCTGTTCAGGGTCCTGTTGGTCCCAGACTTGGTGCTCTGTCCTTTATCTCCCTCCCTCAGTCAGTCTCCCTCCCTCCGTCTCTCTCTCCCTCACTCCATCCCTCCGTCTCTCTCTCCCCCAGTTAATGTGACAGGGGCTTTAATAGTGACCCTCACCAAAAACAAATTAGCACTGAGGTCAGGAGGAAACTAATACACATACACTTTTGTGTGTGTGTACTCACGGTGACCCAGCTGATTTGAGCTCCCAGGTCTCGGAAGTAGAAGGTTGCCGTGGTTCCCACAGGAAGATGCTGCAGTACATCCTCATCCTTTAGACACTTACCCTCTGATAGAGGAGGAGAGGGAGGAGAGGGAGAGGGAGAGGGAGAGGGAGAGGGAGAGGGAGAGGGAGAGGGAGAGGGAGAGGGAGAGGGAGAGGGAGAGGGAGAGGGAGAGGGAGAGGGAGAGGAGAGAGGAGGAGAGAGGAGGAGAAAGGAGGAGGAGAGAGGAGGAGAGAGGAGGAGAGGAGGAGGAGAGGAGATGAGGGGAGGAGAGAGGAGAGAGGAGGAAAAAAGAGGAGGAGAGAGGGGAGAAGAGAGAATTCTAATATCAATAACGGCCCCACAACCATGTTGCATGATCAATTCTTATCCTCTACCAGCCTGCTACCATCACTACTATACTATAGATATCACCACTGTCTTACCCTCTACCAGCCTGTTACCATCACTACTATACTATAGATATCACCACTGTCTTATCCTCTACCAGCCTGCTACCATCACTACTATACTATAGATATCACCACTGTCTTATCCTCTACCAGCCTGCTACCATCACTACTATACTATAGATATCACCACTGTCTTACCCTCTACCAGCCTGCTACCATCACTACTATACTATAGATATCACCACTGTCTTATCCTCTACCAGCCTGCTACCATCACTACTATACTATAGATATCACCACTGTCTTATCCTCTACCAGCCTGCTACCATCACTACTATACTATAGATATCACCACTGTCTTATCCTCTACCAGCCTGCTACCATCACTACTATACTATAGATATCACCACTGTCTTATCCTCTACCAGCCTGCTACCATCACTACTATAGATATCACCACTGTCTTCATACAGACTCTGAAAATCAGAAGAATGGTTTGGAGTTAGACTTACTTGGGTCCAGGCGGATGGACTGTCTAGCTGCGTACCATTGAGGATCTGAGACAGACAGACAAACAGACAAGGGTGGGAGGGAGAGGGAGACCAGACAGAGAGTCAAGACGAATACACAGACAAGGGGGTGGGGTGGGGTTGGGGGTCAACTCTTTAGCTTTATTTAATTTAAATACTGTGTATTGAAGTTAATTTAATTGTAGTAGAATGTGCTGCTGTGTAATGTCAATCTAACGTCGTACTCACGGCTTTTGTGGAACATAGACTTGATCTCCCCAATAGTGGCATTTGGCTCAACCTGCAAATCAAGAGAGATGAGTGGGAAACACACACACACACACACACACACACACACACACACACACACACCTTCTCATTGCCCTTTCATGTGTGATTAGCAGTGCATTTAGCTGTAGCTCTGGCCACACCCCCTGGGTACTGTTATCAAACAGCTGGTATTATCACCCAAAATAGAACAGACACACACAGCGCCAAAACACACACACACACACACACACACACATACATAATGTGAAAGACACACCACAACAACAATCCCACATAGACAAACTGACAAATGACGCACTTACAAAACCATGGACACACACACATTACCATCTAACAGCGGCCACTCCAGACCGTCGTAACCCCCAGGATTGAGGCCGAGTCTGGAGGTTAAGGGACTTGCGCTGAACCCTGTTCCCCCAGCCAGACTGCCTCATCCCGGGGGGCTTAGCCCTCACATACCCCCCTAACTCCACTCAGCAGGGACTGGATGGTTCTGCCCAGCCATGGGCCATTATAGCCAATACTATAGCCAGGCAGAGGGACAGGGGACCAGAACCAACCTTTCCTAAAGGATAGGTAAGTCATGGTTAGTCCTTACTGGCTAGTTGAGAAGGACTAGGTGTGTGTACAAAGACTGTCTTTATTGAAGGTGGGTCACAACAGTCAACTTGAAAGGTTCTGAACACTGGACTCCACACTAGGCTACTCTTTTTGGCATCCTGACAACCTTCACCAGACATTATTCTACTACTGTATTCATCGGTGACATCACAGAGGTCTTCCCCCAGACATTCTAGTCTACTTATGACATCACAGTGGTCTCACCTAGATATTATATTTATGACATTGCAGGTCTCCCCCAGACATTCTAGTGTCTTTATGACATCACAGTGGTCTTTCCCAGAGATTCTACTCTGTTTATGAAATCACACAAACGTATTCTCCAGACATGAATCATGACATCACAGAGGTCTTCCGAGACATTATAGACTACTTCTGACATCACAGAGCGCCTCTTCAGACAGTCTCTTTATGACATCACAGGTCTCTCCCAGACATTCCAAATAATTTACTTGACAACATTAGATTAGAATAACTTTATTTATTCAACTCCACCAATATAAATTCCAATAACCAAATCAAATATACTCCCTCCCACATCAAAGCCCTACTTCAGGAATCTCTATTTCCCAGGGGGCCGCAGTCTAAAGTGGGGGATGACGTGGCCATGGAAACTGTGTTAAGCTGAGAACAGGTATCAGAGCAGTGGTAATCCTGTGTGGACGTGACCTGATACCTTGCAGCCCCTGCATGCCCTAACCCATCACATTAACACCATACAGAACCTAAAACAGTGCTATTAAACCTAGAACACCATGATAAACCTAGCTAGGTGTTCCAGCTGTCATTTAACCGCCAGTCTATAACACCATGATAAACCTAGCTAGGTGTTCCAGCTGTCATTTAACCATCAGTCTATAACACCATGATAAACCTAGCTAGGTGTTCCAGCTGTCATTTAACCATCAGTCTATAACAGCATGATAAACCTAGCTAGGTGTTCCAGCTGTCATTTAACCATCAGTCTATAACAGCATGATAAACCTAGCTAGGTGTTCCAGCTGTCATTTAACCATCAGTCTATAACACCATGATAAACCTAGCTAGGTGTTCCAGCTGTCATTTAACCATCAGTCTATAACACCATGATAAACCTAGCTAGGTGTTCCAGCTGTCATTTAACCATCAGTCTATAACACCATGATAAACCTAGCTAGGTGTTCCAGCTGTCATTTAACCACCAGTCTATAACACCATGATAAACCTAGCTAGGTGTTCCAGCTGTCATTTAACCATCAGTCTATAACAGCATGATAAACCTAGCTAGGTGTTCCAGCTGTCATTTAACCATCAGTCTATAACACCATGATAAACCTAGCTAGGTGTTCCAGCTGTCATTTAACCGTCAGTCTATAACACCATGATAAACCTAGCTAGGTGTTCCAGCTGTCATTTAACCACCAGTCTATAACAGCATGATAAACCTAGCTAGGTGTTCCAGCTGCCATTTAACCACCAGTCTATAACAGCATGATAAACCTAGCTAGGTGTTCCAGCTGTCATTTAACCATCAGTCTATAACACCATGATAAACCTAGCTAGGTGTTCCAGCTGTCATTTAACCACCAGTCTATAACAGCATGATAAACCTAGCTAGGTGTTCCAGCTGCCATTTAACCACCAGTCTATAACAGCATGATAAACCTAGCTAGGTGTTCCAGCTGTCATTTAACCACCAGTATATAACACCATGATAAACCTAGCTAGGTGTTCCAGCTGTCATTTAACCATCAGTCTATAACAGCATGATAAACCTAGCTAGGTGTTCCAGCTGTCATTTAACCACCAGTCTATAACAGCATGATAAACCTAGCTAGGTGTTCCAGCTTTCATTTAACCATCAGTCTATAACACCATGATAAACCTAGCTAGGTGTTCCAGCTGTCATTTAACCATCAGTCTATAACACCATGATAAACCTAGCTAGGTGTTCCAGCTGCCATTTAACCATCAGTCTATAACACCATGATAAACCTAGCTAGGTGTTCCAGCTGTCATTTAACCATCAGTCTATAACACCATGATAAACCTAGCTAGGTGTTCCAGCTGTCATTTAACTATCAGTCTATAACACCATGATAAACCTAGCTAGGTGTTCCAGCTGCCATTTAACCATCAGTCTATAACACCATGATAAACCTAGCTAGGTGTTCCAGCTGCCATTTAACCATCAGTCTATAACAGCATGATAAACCTAGCTAGGTGTTCCAGCTGCCATTTAACCGTCAGTCTATAACAGCATGATAAACCTAGCTAGGTGTTCCAGCTGTCATTTAACCATCAGTCTATAACAGCATGATAAACCTAGCTAGGTGTTCCAGCTGCCATTTAACCATCAGTCTATAACACCATGATAAACCTAGCTAGGTGTTCCAGCTGTCATTTAACCATCAGTCTATAACACCATGATAAACCTAGCTAGGTGTTCCAGCTGTCATTTAACCACCAGTCTATAACACCATGATAAACCTAGCTAGGTGTTCCAGCTGTCATTTAACCACCAGTATATAACACCATGATAAACCTAGCTAGGTGTTCCAGCTGCCATTTAACCACCAGTCTATAACAGCATGCTAACAGAGAGAAGTTGTGACCTCTGACCCCTCAGACTGATCGTCCACTCCAGTCATAGGTAGTAGTGAGCACTATGGGCCGGTCTGGCTCAGACAAGGCTTAACTACTTCAGGTTGTACTTGGAGCTCCTCAGCACTACACTGACTGGGGGACTGGGCTGTAGCTCCCTGCTTCACATGACAACAGACAGACAGACAGACAGCACTGACCTGAGTACAGTGGAGCGGCCTATATTAAACCAATAGTCCTATCGAGCCTGCACCTGTTGCACTATTTAACACAGAGAGACACACAGATATAGACATACACACACAGACACACACAGACGTACACACACACAGATATAGACATACACACATATACACACACAGACGTACACACACACAGATATAGACGTACACACACAGTATTTGTGAAGCCGTCTTACCTTGTCCAGGAAGCAGAGTTTGTCCTTGGTCTTGGCATCCAGAATCTCCACCTCAAAGAAAACCACAGCTTTCTTAGCCTTCTTAGCTTTCGGACGTTTAGCAGGGGGTGCTGCCACCCCTGGGACACTCCCCGGACCACCCTTTTTGGGGGTAGCCCCCTCTAGTACTACAGTATCCATATCCACACCACTACTCTCTCTCTTTATTCCCTTCTCTTCTTTGTCTGGAAAACACGCTTTTCTTAATTCTCTGAAAGTTTGAGCGAGGAGAGGAGAGAGCGGCGTCTGGTTTCAGCTGTGGAAATAAATCTCTTTCTCTCCCCCTCGTTCGCTCCGCTGTTCTGCCTCCCCTCCCTCCCTCTCGCGTCGCTGTTCTGCCTCCCCCCTCCCTCCTCGCTCTCATCCCTTCTTTCCTGGCATGCTGGCTGCTTTATTTAACCCCCCACCCCACACACACACAGCCCTGCTCCCCCGTCACCCCACACACACCTGCTCCCCCCTACCTCCCCCTTCACCCCACACAGCCCCCCCTCCTCCATCCCATCCCTCACCCCTCCACCCCCATTCCTCAACCCTCCATCCCTCAACCCTATCCCTCAACTCTCCATCCCTCAACCCTCCATCCCCCCCTCCATCCCCCCCTACCTCACCCCTCCCCCCACACACAGTAGGGTGATAATACTCCAGAGACACTCATGGCTTAGTTAGGGGAATACTCCTCCGTGCAACCACTCCCTCCCCTGTAATAATGTCCGGAACCTTAGCTCTATAACCTTAACCCTAACATTCCTAGATATGTCGGTCCAATATCAATTTACTCCATGGTAACGGAATTACGCTGAGACTTAAAATGTATACCAAACAAAAAACATTGATTTACAAGTTTAACAAACCATAGAACTCTATGCACAAGGGCTACTTTTAACAATTTCCACAGAAAATTCTACAAAAACACATTTACAGGAAGAACTGAGCACCCTAACCACCCCCCCTCTAGAAGGGAGGAAGTATGACAAACACACAGTCCTCCCCACGGCTAAATATAAAACTCTGCGTAAGCAACCTTATCCCTACACATACCACGCCCTCCCCACCTCCACACCCTTGCTACCTACCTCCCTCCCTCCACCCCTCCACCCTCCTCCCTACTTTTACTGTAATTATGTTATCAAACTTTGCATCTGCACACAGTTATTCCAATAAATGTTTTGTATTCTTATTTACCAAGTTGTCCTTGTGCATAGAGTTATATGGTTTGTTAAACTTTTAAATAAATGGCTTTTGTTTGACATACATTTTAAAAGGAAAAATTGGAGTCTCAGTGTAATTCCGTTATTGTAGAATTGCCCTTATGTTTTGTAGTCTGCACACACACACACAAACACCCACATCCATCCACACAAACACCCACATCCACCCACACAGTGCGAGCCAGGAAACACAAGCATTACTAGGATTACTGGGATGACTATTTAAACTGTCCCACCCCCCCCCATCCCCTCCCCTCTACCCCCTGTCCCACCCCCTGTCTATATAAAGACCCCCCCTGGGATACCAGCCTTTCCTTGTGCTGGGGGTCTAAAGCAGTACTGGATAGATAACCATTAGAGCTGGGGTAGTGTTAGGGTAGGGCTGGGGTAGTGTTGGGGTAAGGCTGGGGTAGTGTTGGGGTAAGGCTGGGGTAGTGTTGGGGTAAGGCTGGGGTAGTGTTGGGGTAAGGCTGGGGTAGTGTTGGGGTAAGGCTGGGGTAGTGTTGGGGTAAGGCTGGGGTAGTGTTGGTGGTAAGGTTGGGGTAAGGCTGGGTAGTGTTGGGTTAGTGTGTTGGGTAGGGCTGGTAGTGTTGGGTAAGGCTGGGTTTGGTGGGGTGTTGGGTAAGGCTGGGGTAGTGTTGGGGTAGGCTTGGGAGTTTGGGTAGGCTGGGGTAGTGTTTGTGGGGTGGGGGTAAGGCTGGGGTAGTGTTGGGGTAGGCTGGGGTGTTTGGGGTAAGGCTGGGGTAGTGTTGGGTAAGCTGGGGTTGTGGGGTAAGGCTGGGGTAGTGTTGGGGTAAGGCTGGGGTAGTGTTGGGGTAAGGCTGGGGTAGTGTTGGGGTAAGGCTGGGGTAGTGTTGGGGTAAGGCTGGGGTAAGGCTGGTGGGGTAAGGCTGGGTAGGCTGGGTAGTGTTAGGGTAGGGCTGGGGTAGTGTTGGGGTAAGGCTGGGGTAGTGTTGGGGTAAGGCTGGGGTAGTGTTGGGGTAAGGCTGGGGTAGTGTTGGTGTAAGGCTGGGGTAGTGTTGGGTAAGGGGCTGTGGTAGTGTTGGGGTAAGGCTGGGTAAGTGTTGGGGTTAAGGTTGAGGTAAAGGCTGGGGTAGTGTTAGGGTAGGGCTGGGGTAGTGTTGGGGGGTAGGGCTGAGGGATAGGGCTGAGGGGTAGGGCTAGGGCTGAGGGGGTAGGGCTTGATGGGTAGGGCTGCATGGTGCGTAGGGCTGAGGGGGTAGGGCTGAGGGGTAGAACATGGAGCTCTAGAGTAGGACAGCATTGGAACTAGCTAGGTTCAAGACTCGGGTAGTAGTGCAAGTTGGGGTAGTGTGCTGCTGCGGCTTGGGCCCAGTTGGGGTAGTGCTGTGCTGAGTGTGGGAAAGACTGAGGGAGTCGTAGTACACTCCAGCTCATTATAGTGCCCTAATAGGTGCATTCTCTTCCTCTCTCTCCCTCGCTCTCTCTCTCTCTCTTCCTTTCTCTGTCTCTCCCTCTTTTGACAGACGGTGTATCTCCTGTCTACTGGACTCTGGCCCCTGGTACCTTCACACCTGCCTCCTCACTTACATACACAGGTCAGTGTTAATGATTGATATTATTTACCCATTAATTGTTGAACCATTTAAATGCACCGTGAGCTTAGCACAACGTTCTCTATGGACCCTTGTCTCTGGACAGAGCTGATGCTGATGTAGTGGACTAGCCACTGATCTACAGTCAGGTATATTCTACAACCCGAATGGTTAATATTAGCATTGTGCGTATGGTAATCTGATCCTAGATCTGTGGTATGGTGGATTGAGTGTCCATCTTCTCCAGTGTGTGCTGTCAGTGCAGCGAGGCAGCAGGTGTCATTCCTTGGTCTATAGTTACTATGACAGTGCTATGACGCCACCTTGTGGATATTTATTATAACTACATCAGCAGTGATTTCGCGTTGCAATAAATGTTTTTATTGGAGAGACCGATACCTGTTATCATTTGGATTCAAGATGGATGCAGACAGTAATCTTGTTGATTGTTAGCAATCCTTCCCTGATGGCCAATGATGCATTGATATGGGCCCAACATGTATTCTGTAGTCAAATGCACATCTTACCAGTGTAATAACATGTTTCTATTGCGCTTAGTGGACTCACAGTTCAGTACTGCAGACTCATCTAGACATTATTGTAGCCTCCTTGTATGTTAGTTTTACTACGACCTCCACCAAGAGGTCTGGACCTTTATGGCAGAGCACTAGGCTACATTGTAGCATGGTTGCCGGTTCCTGCTCCTCTCAAGCTATTCTGTCCCCCTCAATTACTACATTAGAAAGAGAGAAATGTATTGGAAGTGATAACCTCCCAGTGTATGTAGATATCAGACAGACCTGGGTTCAAGTACTATTTGACATAATTTCAAAATACATTATTGACTGAGCTTGCCTGGCTTCAACAGACCAATAGAATAGTCCAATAACTGCAAAATATATCTAGCTGCAACTCTAGATAGGCTTGAGAGAAAACTCTCAAAGTATCGGAAAGACTTCAAATATTATTTGAACCCAGGTATGGTATGAGAGGAGGAGACATGTTGGAGGAAATGAGGAGAACTCACTGGTCGAGGCAGTTCTAACTCTACTCAACTCCCCAAACTGGCTCCTTCAAATCCTGTCCATTGGGTTTGGTCGGCATGACGTCACACCTGCTGTAGAGTCAGTCCTGGTAGCCATGACAACACCTGATGTAGCTAGCTAGCCTACAGTCTAGGAAGCAGTTTTAAATCTGACTGTAGGAGGATTAACTCCCCTCTAGACACTGATCTAAGATCAGTTTGTATGTGATTACCCCCTAATGGCTAAGGTTTGGATTAGTGGGGGGTAATCTGGTCCTAGATCTGTGTCTATTGGGTCTGAGAGAGCCACATGGCCAGCACATGTAGAGGTAAATGTCTATGGGTCTGTCTGCCTATACAGCCATGATAGGGAAGGTGGGCATGTGTTTCAGAGGACATAGCCCTACCATTATTGCCTGTTTGCTATGCATTTAACATAAAGTAACCAGTGGGCTTTGATGTTATTCCATTTACGTCCTTGCATGCATACCATAGAACTTTGTCTCGTGCATAGTTTAAATTCAATCACCTAAGTCTACGAGGCTATGAGCAATAGGAGTTCAGATTGAAGCTAGGCCTATTTGCATATCATCACTTTACTCTCCTATTTGCCGATCAACAATGCTCCAGTCAGTCAGTCAGTCTGATAGTATGAGACGGAGTGGCCTCTATGTTCATGCAGTAAAGTGGTGTAACCGTCAACATTTCTATCCCAAGAGGCTACATTAACTTACGACACAACACTCCCCACAAGGTTAGATTTGTTGCGCACTTGACTGTTCACCTGCAATGATAGGCTAGCTGCCCTGCAATGAAGCAACAATGCAGAGATAAGAATTCTTCAGCGTTCCAATCCACCAGAGGTGGCGCAGCCTAGTTTATGCATTGTCCAAGCATTGTGAGAAAAGAACGACTGGTAAATATTTAAATAAACTAGTAACCTATCTGTTTGGTTGGATTGCTGTTTATTGTGAAAGTAAAAGTGATAGGCTATGTCCATGACATGTGAATTGCAGGCAAGTAGACTACAACTTCGACCAGAGAGAGTCCACAAGCACACCACACGGGCTGGAGGCTTTGACATCCGAGTGAAAACAGCGTGAGCTCATCCCTGCTCTCCAGCACGTTCTACCAGCCTAAATCTGACCGTTTGACTACCCAGGACCGTTGAGAAACAGACTGACAACTTCACAACACTCTTATGAAACAGTAAGAAATACATTGAACAGAATCCCCATTAAAGGTTTAGAGTTACAGCGGATACTATCTTACCTCGTAATGCTTCATCTTGGCTGTTTGTTCTCGCTCTCATCCAAGGTGAGCGACGGGTTGTGCCTTCCAATCAGAGCAAGAGGAAGCAATGATGAACGTGAGGTCCCCAATTGGTCCAATGGTTGGGGAGTCCAATGGTTACTTCTTTAATATCACGTCCAATCAATGCGTCGGAAAGCCAAGTAGATATGCCTTACTGTCCGTACTGTAGCCAATGGGGGAGTAGATTCCCGCAATGGAGTGATCCGTTTGGACAAATGGAGATGCGGGGTAAATTGTGTTAGCGGGGGATTCTGTCACTAAATCGTATGTTATCAACAGCAGGGCAAGCTATACACTGACTTTACAGATCAGCAATTATGTTGGTAGATTACTGACTGATAATTGGGCATAGTGTGTCAGTGGTGGTTTTCATAAGCAGCAAGGCTGTTTGACAAGGATAAGGCATATTTGTTGATATTTGACTAAGAAGAGTAAAGTTGAAATAGCGTTATTATTTTCATTGAGAAAGGACATGGCTAAACCTAACGCATAGTGCCTATAAACCTAAAGCATAGCGAGGACTACATCTATAGTTCCAACAAAAGCAACAGACAAACCACATTATGAGGGAATCAGTTTTGTTCAGGGGTTCCATAAAGCTTTTCCTCTGCGCAGTTTGCAGACACGATTCTTAGAACTTTCGATACATACAGTGAGTGCAACATTGTATCTGCCTCTGCACAAACAGAAGGTGAGATTTCTACATGGAAGGCGTGGTTGAGTTTCGGCTAGACTACGGAAGCCTGTCCAATGGAACTGTCAAACTCAGTGACGCTCCAGTGGGCGTGAACGACCCCTTGGAAGTTTCGTCCGAGAGGAACTGAGCTGAGCTGTGTTCAGACTCTGATGGAAAATTCTCGAACTTTCTGCGCGGATATAAGATAGAATGAGGTCCCATGCGGAGTGCTGAGCTGAGCTGAGAGAACCGTAGCCTTCTTCAACAGTGTGTGTGCAGTTCACGTTGTAATACTTTTACTTACCATTCCATAGATAGACTGCCTGCAACTGGACCAGCGGATTTAAAGAGAACTACCCGTATACCTTGTGTGAATTTGATTGACACTGGACTTGACAGTCAGCAGGCTCAAGCAAGGGAGCCTTAAACTATTTCTCGCAGCTATTTGGAATAAACACACAGACAGCTAGATGGTCAAAATGGGTAAAGACTACTATAATGTCCTGGGCATACAGAAAGGAGCGACGGAGGACGAGATCAAGAAGGCTTATCGTAAGCAGGCTCTGCGTTACCACCCGGATAAAAACAAGTCTCCTGCAGCCGAGGACAAGTTTAAAGAAATAGCTGAAGCTTATGACGTTCTGAGCGACCCAAAGAAAAAGGACATTTACGACCGATTCGGCGAAGAAGGTGAGTGTTCTATCTACTAGACATTTTACATTTTAGTCATTCAGCAGACGCTCTTATCCAGAGCGACTTACAGTTAGTGAGTGCATACATGACGCAACATGTTGTTATTAAAAAGTGGTGAATAAATACACTTTATTTTCCAAAGTACATTAGTTAGGTAGACCTATTGGGAACGATTTCAAAGCTTCAATTATAACGATGTAAAGCTGAATCTTTGTTTCTTGATATTTTGATGAGTATTTAGGCGAGATGGCATTTCAAGATCTCTCTCAAGCACCTGCCTCTTTCCTCTGAAAATCTACTCTTCTTCAGTGGTGCTGAAACCGCAGTTTTATTTCTAGAGTTGTAACGCTTTGGGCCACAGAAGTTCCAAAAACAAACGCTATATGCTTATAACAAACCAAGCAATAGCTTATAAGCCTACCTTTCTTAGCCAATGTGAGCAATATTTTATAACCAGAAAGGGCAAAGCACAGGAAGGTGGAAGTACAGCACGCATGTTCCAACAATAATCCCTTGCAGCACAATCATAAGGAATGGATTAAAAAAATTGATAAACAATACAATAGGCCTGCGGATTGGCAACAACGCTCGGATTGGCTGCAAGACACGAGCGGAGCGGCGCCGGAGAGGTGCCCGCCCACTGCTGGAAGGTTCGGGCGCTGACGTCACAGAGGGGCGGAGAGACCGACTTTAACAGTTTGGCACTAGCCTGTCAGCAAGCTTCTCAAAGGACAGATGGTGTGGTCGTGGATTCCTAGTTCCTACAGTAGGCCTAGGTTAGAATGGTGCAGCTGTGTTCTTATCAGTTGTTTTTAAGGACCAGGCTAGGTAACTCAACTGTCAAGCTGCATTATTCCGTGTATAGCAACAGACACTGTAGACCACAGGAGGTTGGTGGCACCTTAATTGGGGAGAACAGGCTCTTGGTAATGACTGGAGCGGAATCAGTGGAATGGTATCAAATACATCAAATACATGGTTTCCAGGTGTTTGATGCCAGTCCATTTGCGCCGTTCCGGACATTATTATTTAGCCGTCCTCCCCTCAACAGCCTCCTGTGGTGTAGACCAATACAACCTTTATTCCCTCCCTTCTAGCCCTACACACAGACACATTGTTTCCACACCCATGGGTGCTACTGCACATAGGAAATGATTACACAACTTCTATTGAAAGAAGTCTGAACCAGAGCACCAAATGTTTAACTCTCTCTCTCCGTCCCTTCCTCCTTCTCTCCTCCAGGGTTGAAGGGAGGAGGCCCCTCAGCAGGAGGGGGTGTTCCTGGGGGCCCTAATTTCAGCTACTCCTTCCAGGGCGACCCCCACGCCATCTTCGCCGAGTTTTTCGGGGGCCGGAGCCCCTTCGACCAGTTCTTCCCCCGAAACGGCGGGGGCCCAGACGGGGACAACATGGACACTGACGATCTCTTCGCCCGTTTCGGGATGGGGGGCGGCGGCATGGGGGGGTTCCCCCGTTCCTTCAGCACAGGGATGGGGGGAGGGATGGGGGGGCAGATGGTTGAGAAGCACCAGGACCCACCCATGCTCCACGACCTCAGGGTGACCTTAGAAGAGGTTGGTTGATTGATTGATTGACTTATTTTATTTGACAACAAAAAATATCCATGTACACACAGTACATACATTTTAAAAGTTGTCTAGGATAACACAATAAAGGCAATAACTAATTTCCATTGTGATCCTTAAAAGGTGTTCTCAGGTTGCACTAAGAGAATGAAGATATCCCACAAGCGGCTGAACGCAGACAGACGGACCACCCGGACGGAGGACAAGATCCTGGAGGTGGAGATAAAGAAGGGATGGAAGGAGGGGACGAAGATCACCTTCCCTAAAGAGGGGGATGAGACGCCCACTAACATCCCGGCAGACGTGGTGTTCGTGGTCAAGGATAAGCCCCACCCAGTGTTCCGGCGAGAAGGCTCTGACATCGTTTACCCCGCCAAGGTCTCCCTCAGAGAGGTAAGGCAGAATGATTGGAACTTTTAACTAAACTATACTAAATATACTTTGTTTTTATACGCTGCTCTCCAAGTGCTCGCTAAAACAAATTGATAGTACTTAGAATGACAATCATTCTTGAACCTACAGACAACTGTTTGTACGTAGACTAGAGTGATGAAGCGTAACATCTCTCTCTCTCTCTCTCCCCCCTCTATCTTCTCTCTCTCTCTCTCTCTCTCTCTCAGGCTCTGTGCGGCTGCACGGTCAACGCCCCCACGCTGGACGGCAGGACAGTAACCGTGACGACCGGGGACGTGGTGCGTCCGGGGATGAAACGACGTATCACGGGGGAGGGGCTTCCTCACCCCAAGCGGCCCGATCGCCGCGGTGACCTGCTGGTGGAGTACGAGGTGGTGTTTCCGGAGAGATTGAGTCAGAGTGCCAAGGAGACCATCGCACAGGTGCTTCCACCCTAGTCCTGATACCTATGAACTATGAACTTCTTAAGGACAAAATGGACGGCCGACGAACAGTGAAAAGCAACAAGTGGCTGTCCGCCCTATCGCCTCTGACCAAAGAACAACGACCGCCACCATTTTCTGGACAGGGGCCACCTGATCCTAGATCAGCATTCCTGCACTCTAGAGCCAGAGACCATCAAATAAATGTGGTTCTTTAGCATCCTTTAGTATGAGCCTCTTTAGCTTTACTTGAAAATGTCCATGTACAGGCTAGAGGCATTGGTTTGTTAGCAGTGGTTCTCAAACCTCTCCTCTGGGACCCCGAGGAGAGGTTTGAAATACCTATTTTGGGGGATTAGATTTGTATTTCTTGGTGGCATTTCTTTGCAGATGGCATCCCTTCATGTATCTATTCTAGGGGTTTAGGTATCATGGGTGGTTTTCATGGTTTTGGTTATTGGATTCTGATCAAATCAATAGAACGTATTGGCACTGATCAATACCCATAGTCTGATAATACCCATAGTCAATAGCCGTAGTCCCCACTGGTCCCCATGACAACCAGAGGATGTTCAGGAGCACTGAACTGTTGTCAGTGGTTTAGAACAGAAACAATGTTACTTGAATGCATGGAAATATAATCTATAGAACGGACCTTCCCATTCAAGTCAACGATGATTCTATTTCTATGCTTGAATTTTCTTTACTTTTCCAAGATGCCTACAATAGTAATAACAATAATAGGGTGGGGGGAAATGTGAGTGAGAGGTGTGTGTGTGTGTGTTTCGCAGCTAGTGTGTATGAGTTAGCTAGCTAGGTGAACCTTTTGTACAGAAATTCATGGAATGTATGACTTGCTGTAGGATCTGGGCTTTGTATTGTGCAACTGTTGGATTGTGCACTATCGTGATATAGGATATCTTAGTATAGGATGTTAGCACAGTAACCATAGGAGATATAGGGTTTCATGTTATACCCATAGCACTCCTCTTTACTCAATATTACACAGAAAATGAGTTGTAGCTACCTGTTGTTGCTGCAGAAAGTGAGAACTGTCCAAAAACTACTCTATGCGAAATGTTTCACATTTTATTGACATGAATGTAACCAAAGCACTTGTCCTCATCAGGTTTTAGCCACGTCTTAATGAAATAAAACCCTTTCCTAACTGTCCATTCAGGGAACAATTGATAAGACTAGACCTCTTCCCCCTCTTCTTTCATTCCCCCTCTCCTTCCCCCTCTTCTTTCATTCCCCTCTCCTTCATTCCATGCTTTCATTCCCCCTCTCCTTCCCCCTCTTCTTTCATTCCCCCTCTCCTTCCCCTCTTCTTTCATTCCCCCTCTCCTTCCCCCTCTTCTTTCATTCCCCCTCTCCTTCCCCTCTTCTTTCATTCCCCCTCTCCTTCCCCCTTCTTTCATTCCCCCTCTCCTTCCTCCCTCTTCTTTCATTCCCCCTCTCCTTCCCCTCTTCTTTCATTCCCTCTCTTTCTGACTTCTTTCATCCCCTCTTTCTTTTTTATTTTTTTGTGTTAACAAAGTGATATCCCAAAGGCTGTATTTAAATGAAAGATCCCTCACCTCAAATTAGAGACCATTCTTTCTCCTTGACAACAGTAATTGTAGTTTAATATTTAAATTATGTAATTTGTATTTAAGGAATAGGTTTAAGAAAACATTAACCCTGGACAGAATCTTCTAAAACTGCAACCAGACTTAGAATTGGACTGGCACATTTCTTAGTTTACTATACATTTGCAATGTATTGTTTACATTATATTGCTGGACAGTTTTCTATACACAGAATGTACTTTTTATGTGAATAACTTTCATTGGTAAATAAAGTATATTTTGTTCTTATAGATAAATGGATCCTTGTTTCTCTTTCTAGAAAGATGTAATAAACATGTTATAACAGTGTGATCTGGTATGAAGATGTCTCTTGGCTTGAGACCCACCGGGGCCTCTTCACAGCCTGTGTCTATGTATGCTGATGACACAACGCTATACACGTCAGCTACCACAGCAAGTGAAATCACTGCAACACTTAACAAAGAGCTGCAGTCAGTTTCAGAATGGGTGGCAAGAAATAAGTTAGTCCTAAATATTTAGAAAACTAAAAGCATTGTATTTGAGACAAATCATTCACTAAACCCTAAATTGAGCAAGTTGAGGAGACCCTGTATTGCAAACTGTCATGGTCAAAACATATTGTTTTGTCCAGTCCTGTCCAGTTGTGTGGTCAGGTGCCACAAAGAGGGACTTAGGAAAATTACAATTGGCCCAGAACAGAGCAGCATGGCTGGCTCTTAAATGTATACAGAGAGCTAACATTAATAATATGCACATCGATTTCTCCTGGCTCAAAGTGGAGGAGAGATTGACTTGTATTTGTGAGAAGTATTGACATGTTGAATGCACCGAGCTGTCTGTTTAAACTACTAGCACACAGCTCGAATACCCATGCATACCCCACAAGACATGCCACCAGAGGTCTCTTCACAGTCCACAAGTCCAGAACAGACTATGGGAGGCGCACAGTACTACATAGAGCCGTGACTACATTGAACTCTATTCCACATCAAGTAACTCATGCATGCAGTAAAATCTGATTTTAAAAACAGATAAAAATACACCTTATGGAACAGCGGGGACTGTGAAGACACACACAGGCACAGACTCACTCATACACACACATGATAACATACACACTATACACACACGTACACATGGATTTTGTATTGTAGATATGTGGTAGTAGAGTAGTGGCCTCACACTTAATGTGTTGTGAAATCTGTTGTGAAATGTATTGTCATGTTTTTAGAACTGTATATAACTGCCTTAATTTTGCTGGACCCCAGGAAGAGTAGCTGCTGCCTTGGCAGGAACTAATGGGGATCCTTAAAAAATACAAATACAAATACATGGTGTTCAACTCTGGGAAGACATTGACAAGTGTGTGTGTGTGTGTGTGTGGCTGCACGTGTGTCACCTTGGTGTAACCCACCAGCTATGCTGGTAGTTGTTGTGGCAACCCTGAAGGAGGAAATGGAGAAGAAGAGGTCTCACTTTTACTTTCTGTACTACAACAGGTGAGACTGGCGAGGAGGGTGGCGATGATGATGATGGTGATGATGATGGTGATGATGATGATGATGATGATGATGGTGATGATGATGATGATGATGGTAATGATGATGATGATGGTGATGATGATGATGATGATGATGGTGATGGTGATGGTGATGATGATGATGGTGATGATGATGATGGTGATTGTGATGGTGATGGTGAGTTGATGGTGATGATGATGATTGATGGTGATGTAGATGATGGTTGTTTGATGATGCTGGTGATGGTTGTGGTGATTGATGCATGGTGATGGTGCTGGTGATGATGGGATGGTGATGGTGATGTGATGAGATGATGATGATGATGATGGTAATGATGATGATGATGGTGATGATGGATGGTTAATGGGATGATGATGATGATGGTGATGGTGATGATGATGATGATGATATGGTGATGATGCTGATGGTGCTGTGATGGTTGATGGTGATGGTGCATGGTGATGATGATGATGATGGTGATGATGATGATGGTGATGATGATGGTGATGGTTTGTGATTATGGTGATGTGTGTGATGGTGATGGTGATGATGATGATGATGATGTGATGGTGATGATGAGTGATGATGATGTGATGATGATGGTGCTGTGATTGTGATGGTGTGATGATGGTGATGCTTATGACCCCTCTGTGGGAATAGGGTCCATTTGCTCATCTGCTGTGACCGTTACCCGTGATGGCTATCGGACTGGTAATTGTCAACCAAACTGATCACCTCTCTAATTCTCTCCACAACCAACATGCTACACTGGTGCCCTGGGAATATGACTGACTGGCTCCTTTCTAAATTAGGGCATGACTATGTGTGTGTGTGTGTGTCTGTTTGTGTGTGTGTGTGTGTGTGTGACAACAGATGAGGCAGAAAATAACGAGTGAGAGGAGGAAGAGAGAGAGAGAGAGAGAGAGAAGAGAAGAGAGGAGATAAGAGCGGAGAGAGAAGATAGAGACCAAATTACACAACATTTTAGTTCTGGGTTAAACAAGATTACTATTGGGGTAACAGTAGGTGTACTTCGTAGTTTACAGTTTATGTATTTTTATAGTTAAAGTTGGCGTATCTTTCGTAGTTAAAGTTGGTGTATTTTTGTAGTTAAAGTTGGTGTATTTTTGTAGTTAAAGTGGTGTAATTTGTAGCAGCTATTGGATTATTTGTAGTATTGGAGGAAGTGTTGGAGTAAGTCTAGGAGTAAGTCTAGGAGTTAGTCTTGGAGTTAGTCTTGGAGTAAGTCGTGGAGTTACTCTTGGAGTTAGTCTTGGAGTTAGTCTTGGAGTAAGTCGTGGAGTAGATTCCATGGGAGTCAGAACAATGGTCCTCCATGTTGAGTTCTGTTTTCAGCCAATCAGACTGGACTAATCAATCACTAATAAATTACTAACCAATCACCAGGGGTGGAAAGAGCACTGAAAAATTACTGATGTAAAAAAAACTACTCAAGTAAAAGTAAAAAGTAGCTAATTTAAAAAGTACTCTGAGTAAAAGTAATTGAGTTACTTTTAAAAGAAAAACATTGACCTTGATAATTAGCTAATTTAGCTAAGGTTACATGTACATTGCTACACATTATATTTTCAATGCATCAACTCAAAAAAGGAAGAGGAAATTAATGTACAGTGGGAACTAAGTTGATTTACTTTCTGATTTGCAACAAGGCACATCTGTGTGTAAAAAATATATACTATTAACATTTGAAAATAAATTATACATTCAAAGCAATTACAATGTATTGATACATAAAGCAATAGAAGAAAGAGTGAAAAACAATAATGTTGCCAGACTTCAATATACACTGCTCAAAAAAATAAAGGGAACACTCAAATAACGCATCCTAGATCTGAATGAATGAAATAATCTTATTAAATACTTTTTTCTTTACATAGTTGAA